ACCAATCAGACGTTCCAAAAACGGCTTTCATCTGCCACAGAGGGTTGTTCGAGTTCACCCGACTGCCGTTTGGCTTGTCTAACTCTCCAGCCAGTTTTCAACGCCTGATGGATGTTGTACTTGGGAACTCGAAGTACGAATTTGCCATGGCATACATGGATGACGTGGTTGTTTTCTCGAGAACTATCGAAGAGCATGTCGAGCACCTTCGCATTGTACTTGAGCGAATGCGTAATGCTGGGCTCACGATTCATCCCGGAAAGGTTCAGTTAGCCGCGCCCAAGATTAACCTCCTTGGATTCGTTGTGGATAACGGCACGCTCCGCCCCAACGAAGATAAGTTGCGCGCGCTAACGGAATACCCAAGCCCACATGACGTAAAGAGCCTACAAAGATACCTCGGAATGATTGCGTTCTACAGGGATTTCATTCCACACTGTTCCGAGATATCGCAACCGCTCAATCACCTCCTAAAAAAAGGCGTCAAGTGGTGTTGGGCCGAACAACAACAATGCGCATTCGCAGCCCTTTCAAAAGCCGTGACTGACAACGCTTGTTTACAGCTCCCAGACTTGAACAAGCCGTTCGTTCTGCAGACAGATGCAAGCGACTGTGGCCTGGGTGCTGTATTGCTGCAGGAGTATGGCGGTGTGCTTCGGCCAGTCGCTTTCACGAGCCACACGCTAACTTCTGCCGAGCGCAACTACAGTGTCGCAGAACGTGAATGTCTCGCCATTATTCATGCTTTGAAGCGCTTCGATATGTACCTAGATGGCGCAACGTTCCAGATTCAATCTGATCACTTAGCGCTATCATGGCTAAGGGGACTTAAGAATCCAGCTGGACGTCTTGCTCGTTGGGCGCTTACGCTACAACAGTACGACTACTCCATTGTGTACCGCCCGGGGTCAACTAACAAAGTTGCTGATGCGCTTTCTCGTGCTCCACTTCCTGAGGAACACTCGCAGGATACCCATGGCTTGGTGACCGTCGCGGCCACGACACGAGGATCCCCAGATTCACGGTGGGGTACATTGGTGAGCCGCGAGGAGCTTCGCAAGGCGCAGCTGGATGACGGACTCTGCCAACGCGTGTCCGCTTGGCTGGCAGCAAGAGGTCCAGTCGACCGCCCAAGTGACGAGGAGTTCGACTCCTACTTGATGAGCGACGACGGCCTCCTGCTGCGCTACATCCCCCAGGCCGACGACGATCCGGATGGCTCGGCATTCCGGACCGTGATACCCCGCAAGCTACGTAAGCTTTTCATCCGATACATGCATGACTCTGCCTTGGCAGGACACAGCAGTGGGAGCAAGACCTACGAAAAGTTATCCCAAATTGCTACCTGGCCAGGCATGAGGCAGGATGTGCTCCGATACGCTCGTAGCTGCCCGGTGTGCCAGAGGGCAAAACCACGTGGTGGCCAGCCCCCCGGTCTCATGCAACCAATCGCGAGTCAGAGCCCTTGGCAGATTTGTTGCTGTGACGTCATGGGCCCCTTCCCACGTAGTACCCGGGGCAATCAGTACTTGTTCGTGGTAACCGACCACTTCACGAAGTGGGTTGAGTTATTTCCATTGCGGAAGCTAGATTCGCAAAAAATCTGGGAGTGTCTACTCGAAACATTCGCTAGGTTTGGCTTTCCTGCACAGCTTGTAAGCGATAATGCCTCCTATTTCACGAGTAAGGTGTTTGTGGACGCATGCGCGGTACTGGGAATCAAACACAAAAGAACTTCCCCGTACCACCCGCAAGCAAACATCACGGAAAGGGTAAATCGAAACCTTAAGATGATGCTAGTGGCCTACACAGAGCGCCACAAGGACTGGGACGCGAAACTGCCCGAGCTGGCATTCGCGACCCGTACAACCACTAATCGGTCAACGGGTCTCACTCCTGCCCAATTAAATTTCGGCAAGGAGCTCGCATTCCCGCTTTCTAACAGCCTCCTTTCTACAGAGTCTGGAGGAAGGCCTCGCCCCTACGTGAAGTTCGCAGAGGACCTGCGAAAGCGCTTCTCCGATAACCTTCGAGAGGCCAGAGAAAATCTAGACGTCGCCCGGGTACAGCAGGCTGAACAGTACAACCGGGGGCGACGTGACTTGCAGTTCGAGGTGGGAGATTTTGTACTCCGGCGTACTCACCCACTGAGTGACGCCGCTCGAGGCTTCGCAGCCTCCCTCGCCAACAGGTGGGAAGGTTTGTTTCGCGTGCGTGAAAAGTGCTCGCCACTCACTTACAAACTAGTTAACTGTGAGTCTAGTGAGGAAACCGGACCTGTTCATGTCACCGACCTTAAACGATTTTTCCAAGCAGAAGACGAAGATTCCTCGCAGGACCGGAACGACACTGACGGCAGTCCCGTTCCGGAAACCCCCTTGTCTCCACCAAGGCGGCGGTATAACCTGCGACGTCGGTGACACCAAAGAGAGAGGAACTTTTTTTTTTGTCTCCTTGGCCTCTTTCGCATTTTGGGGGTAGTTTTCTACTTCCACGGATCTGCCCCTTTTTCAAGAGAGGGGGGAGAAGATTGTGTGCCCACCTCAGATCCGTTATTTCAAACTTTCTGGAAGGGGTCCGAAAATAACGTCAGGCTCAGCCCTCAACTGAGTCCCATGTCGTCTGCTTCCATGTTTTCTACGAAGCTGACTCATGGACAAAACCGTCGCCACACCCGCCATCTGAACGACACGGCGGCCGGTCTCATCGTGGACCGCGGCCACCCTCTACAGGACCACGTGCAAAGCAGCCACCTGGTGGAGCCCTGATCCCGAACAAGCGACAAGCTGGAGCTGACCGAGCCGCCGCGCTCGTCAGCAGCCGCCGCGCTCGTCAGCAGCCGCCGCGCTCGTCCAGCAGGCGCCGGCCGGACTTAAACGTCAGTCCGCCCAACAGCGCCATCCACCCCCTGACGCCCACAACGTCTCCGTCATCGACATGCCGGACGAAGCTTGAGGGGGGGGGGGGGGAAGTGTGGGCACCCTGGCGGCTCCCAAGCCAAGTTGCCCGACTGCGAGGCTCAAGCCGAACTTTTCCCGCGTGGCGGCGACGTCACGCCAGCCACGCGCACATCGGATGCGCCGCCTTGATAAGGCAGATCAGAGGCGGCGCACGGGAAGTCACTGCCTGGACTCAGGCGCCGCTGGTAACCATGTTAATCGTCTCGTCCATGTCCCATTAAATGTAGTTTCTTCTTGTTGAAACCGTTGGCTCCGTGTTATTCCTCCGGGTCGGGTATGCAGCAAGGCAAACCGACCACAATGTGTAATGCACGTGGCTATTCCAGCGCAGGTTATTAGCTGAAATAACTCCTAAATACGTAAGTTCTTCTACTTTATTAAGTTCAATGACGCCTATAGAATAGCGGAAGTCGAAGACCTTTTTTTTTTTATTTGTAATACAGCAAGAGACAGTTTTATCAAAATTAATTACCATAAAATTAATTACCGAGTCGGACCACCTCAGTCTTACCTTGTAGAAACCGACCAAGGAACGATACGGCGCACGCGGCACCATCTCCAGCCCGCGATCCCCGACAGCCGGCCGGCCAGTCAACGGGAGAACGATCCTCAAGCAACCATAACACGAAGTGGCAGAACTTCACGACTACCGGAACGCTTTGGACTATGAGGCTGAAAGGGGGAGGTGTCGTATAAAGACGGCGAGGTTTGGCGGCATGTGAGACTGTGAACTGGATGGGCCACACGCGAGGGTCCGAGATGCCCGTGACTCGTAGATAGGCTTTGGGTTCTATAAAAGGCTCTCGGGTGTTGGTTTGCGGCTCCGGGCTTTGACCTTTCTCTCGCCTCGGAACACGACAGGTTATAAGGGCAGCCTGCCGATATCTAGAGAACTGGCTTGTCTCGTTTTTTTCTGCTGTGCACAGGCCGGAGCAAAGTGCGCGAAAAATCTTATGGCGAATTCCACGGGCGTTTTGGAGCGCGCCGGGATCAGTTGACCAGATCCGGACTGGAGCACATGATCCGAACGGGGTCGCGCCGCCTACGGATCTCCAGTGGAACATGGCCACTGCTCCGTGATCGGCGGATGCCTTCCCGTCATTCAACTGCCCGGGAATCCCCTTTTCGCGGCCGCCGCGGTCGTTTCGAAGACGTTTTCGGAATCGCGGCGCTAACACGTGTTTGACGCACGAGCGGCAGGAGTGGCTCAGGCGCTTCTAGCAAAGATTGCCGGAATGTCCGTAGCGCGGCAAATACCTTCTCTTCTCCTTCCTGGAAAACGAACCGGCTGTCGAGCCAAGAAGTAAGCAAGCGGCCATTACGAATTCTTCTGATGTCGAGACAATCTAGGAGCCCAGCCCGCGACATGCTTCTTCTTCTCCTTCTGAGGCGAGATGGGCGAGATCAGGCGAGATGCCCCACGGGAAAGGAAGTCACCTGTGTGAGCCGAGGGCTGCATGGCTCGGCTGGCTTCCGGTTGAATCCGCCGAAATCGTGGGAGCGACTTCTTTCGGATCCAGATGGAGATCAGGGGGGCTATGTTGCACGTTTTGGACTCCCGGGAGACTGGGGAGATGGAAGTGACGTCAACAACGCTCTTTGGATGCTGATTGGTGGGGTCGCTGATGGCGCGTTGCGTGGTGCTGCTAAGATACGTTTATTCACACCCACGCCACTTCCTTCTTCCTAGTCGCCTGGGAATCCAAAACGTGCAACATAGCCCCCCTGGAACGAGATTTAGCCCAAAAGGACTAGTGAAACACGTCGGTCTCGATCCCGATCGCCCAGTGAAATAGGTTCGCTCCGGAAAAGTCGATCCCGGCGCGCTCCAAAACGACCCGTGGAATTCGCCATTAGAGACTATGCCCTGGCATAAAAATGTTGCCACATAGGTGGTAGTTATATAGCGCAAGTGCATTATGTTCCACAAGGAGTACTGACCGGTGTGGCCGGTGATTGCGGGAATAAAAAGTGTAAATTTACTTGGCACGTCTCTCGTATCTAAATGAATTGTTTCATGGTTCTTGTTATCAATTGTAGGACTAGCCTTCACTGGATCTCTTTGTGGAATCTTTCGCGGCCTTGAGGTCGAAGACACGCCAGGATTGTTCAGGATGATCGACATCGCGGTGCACGAGCTAGGACACTCGTAAGTTGCCTTTACCAGTGATTCTCTATACTCTCCCACAGCTCAAGAAGCGCACGGCGTCTCGAGTCCCGGTCATCCTGTTATCGCTGGGCAGCCAATAAGCCTGCGGCATAAATAATAGTAAAGAGTACGTTTCACACTTGCGACTGCTTACGTCGGCGTGCCTTCTTAAAGTCGCCTACAAGAAGAAACGCTGGTGTCATCTATCGGGTAGTCGTAGAAACCATACTGAAAAAAAGAAAGAAAACGTTTGAAAATTGATCGAGTTGCAAAACTGGTCGACCCGTTTCTGTCATATGGCATTATGATATACGTGTACTGGTCTGATACGGGTCTGAAATGGGTCGACCCAGCACACGCAAATAACGTCCCTGTGACACTTCCTTCTGTAGACAGTTTTATTTGAGTGGCTCGCTTGGGAGAGTGCACTGCAGGGTCCACCCTTTAAACTTGACAAACCTGAATAAGCGAAAATGAACTGAATGATAAAATATTATGCGTTAGATAACGCAAGTTTAATTCTAGGAACTAGCTTGCGATGGAAAAGAACGGCTTTGTTTCGTTTATAATTTTGGAAGTCTGAAGGGGATAGATTCGGGGTGTAGCGTGCCTAGATGTGAGCCTGTCATAGGGTGAAGACACCCATTGTTGTATTGAAAACCGCCTACGCGTGCCAAATGGGCCTTAAAATGGTGCCAAAGCACCGGACAGAGCTATAGACGCTTTGCGGCAGCTGTGCATGGGGGCCGCCATAAGCGACCTTCAGTTTTTGTTACCTCCTATTACAATTACTTCACTTGATCATTACCACAGCACGGCGAGTTATTGCCCTTTTAGGTTCTGCTGTGCCTTTCTCCACAGCACTGACCTTTGTGGAGGCTCGTCAACGCCCGCTTTAGTTGCTTGGCATCTGAGAAAGACAACTGAAAGTCATCAATGGCGGCTGTAATCTGGTGTGTATGTAAAGCGTCTATACAAGCGCTCGCTCCGAACGAGATCCAAGCGCGTGTATTTTCTGCAGGGGCCAGAAATGGCCGAGATGCCGCCACCGTAACCGCTCATTCACACTGGAAGCGGATCCGCGTTCGCAAAGCGGTTGCGAACGCGGTTGTATAAAGATCCACAACAATTCCACGCGCATTTGATGTCATCAAATGTGCGTGAAATTGTAATAGATCTTTACAAAACCGGCGTTCGTAACCGCTTTGCGAACGCAGATCCGCTGCCAGTGTGAATGAACGGTAAGGCAGACGCGGCGAAAGTCTGTCAAGCCCCATAGTTTGGTGCGAGACGTCGCGCCATCTAGCTCAAACTCTCTGCAACACTGGGAAGGCCCTTTCGCCAGCCTGCTTGCTCGTGGAACTGTTTATGCATCTCTTTTAAGATGCTGATTCGAGCGTTTTTGGTATTTTCGTTTTAGCATTGCTATCAGCTGTCGCAGAAGAGCAAACATCGAAGTTCTAGGCATTCTCGCTTACCGCACCGTCGCAACGCCGAAAGCTTAGCAGGCGCGAAGCTCCGTAATATAGGTTCCCGTTGAGGCCGAAGAAAATCGACGCCTGTTCTTTTTTTTGTCTTCCTTTGCTTGTTTCGTTTTCCTACCGCAGTCTAAGTTTTACCACCATGTTCAACTTACATTAGCTCGCCAGGAGGGACCGTTTTCTCCGCTTCGACGGTCGCAGAGCGGACTGCCGTTCGCGCTTTTAGCTTGATAGATATCCTGACGGTTGCCCCATTTTTACCTGCCATGGTATCTGCTTTATTTTGACCCCTGTCTATGCAGTTCTAACATCATTCCCGCTGCGAAGAAACAGCTACTCAAGAAATAAAAATGCGCGTACTCCCTGGCAAACGTTTATTCATGGACGCTTGTTTGTTTTCTTTGCAAAGGAGAACGGCATATTTAATCGTCTCGAACGAGCATAACCTTGCGACGAGCTACTGCAACGATTTCTTCAAACTACAGTCAATTTGAGCGAAAACCACATTCCTCGCAAGCTACAGTAGCCTTCAACGAAGGAACCGGAAACATGGTGATCGCCAACATAAGGTCACCTACTTATGCGGGAAGAGTTCACTTGGAAAAAAGGGCCACGATATTTTCCAGACACTCTTGAAAGATAAATCTTTGAAATGTTCAGACACAAGCCTGCTGATTGACATGACAGCTTGCGAGGGTTGCGTCGCGGCGTCTCTAATTCTATTTTTGTTTGGTATCTGTGCAGACAACTGCCGAAATAATAGACCGATCTCACTAAGTGTTGGACGCATGCATAAAGCCGCCATAACTTTAGTTAAAAAAGGAGGCAGAGGGCCGTGCACGCGAGGGCTCGTGCCTTCTCGTGCTCTACACGCGAAGAGCTCCAGCGAGGTTGTCGCACGTGCAAGAAGACTAAAGTTCCCTCGATGCATTGCGGCAGCGATGGTGTAGTCAAACTGGCTGGTGTGATCGGTTTATTGTTTTGCCGTCACCAAAGTGTGGAATGCGCTGTCACCTTAGGTGCGCACGCGCGCCCTACTCTAGTGCGTGGCGTACCATTTGTTTTGGATAATATGGAGCTTGCCGCTACCGACGCTGTGTACGTAAAGGTTTATCCACACGACGGACCGGGCCGCGGACCGATTGATCACGTGATGAGCGGTCCGCGGGCCGCCCGGCTGCAATGAATATCCACACGGCCGACCAAAACAGCAGACGACAGAGTGAACGGGCCGGTCTAACCCTCTACCTCACAGCTCCGCCAAACGCATGCAGCGAGCTGCTTTGAGGGTATTTTTAAGGAGCCAAGATGGAGGTTGAACGAAAGAGACGTTTGGCCGCAGTGGCCTTGGCGTTGACTACTGAGGACGAGGAGGACTTAAGTGAACCGCAAAGGTCATGCGTCTATTGTCCCACAGAGCGGGGAATTGCTCCACGAGCGCGATGAAGTAAAAAGTTGCGTCGTCCCACCATGTTTCTATCGTCGCAAAACAAAAGGTTCGTCTTCTTCGTCTTCAACAGTTGGCGCCAAAAGAAAACGACTTTGGATTTAGATTCCAGTCCAAAGAAAAAAAAAATCAGCTTGTTGCCAGACTTAGCGCTTTGATTATACTAAAAACGCCGCGGTCCACCGCCAAGGTCCGGGCGAGAAAAGTCGCTTGGCATTTCTCAGATGCGCTGCCCGCGGACCGACGGCGGACCTCGAAAACCGGTGACATAAGATCACGTGATGCGCGGCCCGCGGACCAAAACAGCAATTTGGTCCGTCGTGTGGATACAACTTTAGTGATATTAAAATAAAAACCATAATTTTTTTTTTTTTGTTAAAACCTTGTCTCATTTTTTTTCATTCTGGCGACTTTCAGGTGCGGCAGTAGTCACGATGGCGATGTTCTGACCAAGAATGCGTGTGATCCCAAAGCAAGATATATTATGGCCCCTGTCTTTCGCTTTGGACAAAGCAACTCGTTTTCAAGTTGCTCAAAAACGCTGATTAGTAATTATATGAAGTAAGTATCATGAACGTATAAAAGCCGGAAAAGTTTTTTATTAGCAAACACAAAGAGGTCACCCTGGTCTCATAGCTTATTTGCTACTTCGTAAAACAGAAAAAAAGGGAGTAGGGTTGGAGACTAAGAAAACAAAAGGCAGAAAATCTCCCCCCCCAAGCACACACACACATATACGCACACAAAGAAAATATAGTGAAAAAAACAGAATACACACTAGCTAGTTACACCAAACTTTAAATACTTAGAAGAAACGAGTACTAGAAAGGTAATTAACCGGTGCATCGGGGCCTCATGTCCATCCTCAGAAGTTGGTAAAGGGACAAGAAGATGGGGATGTTCTATTTCTTCGCTTGTCCCTGGACCCAGTTGTGTAATAATAATAATAGGAGTTTATTTTCCATCAAAGTACAGGTTGGTCCTCATCGCTTCTCTTGCGAGTCGTGTGTAATGCATAACACGCAATTGCTGTCATAAAGGGAGGAGCACTTGCCCCATTACGCGAAAAGGCTTTGGCGTTGTCCCCGAAAGAAGGCCATAAAAATACGTCATCAAGCACGCACATCAGAAATAGAACACAAAGAAGAGCACAGCACCCCAGATGCTTCGTCACGCAAGCCGGCGGGGGAGCTGAAGGTCAAAGCGGACGCGCCTCAGGAACAAAACACAAAGAAAAGCACAGCAACGCAGATGCTTCGTCCCGTAAGTCCTCGTGAAGCCGGCGTGGTACGCCGCGCTTGCGCAGAGGGGTAGCGTGTTGTCACCGCCGGAGCGCCGTGTGCAAAAGGAAGACGTGGCGCGCTGCTTGTAGGAATGCTTTCGCATTCCTACAGGTAAGCGGTGTTAAGTGTCTTCGGCGAGTTGTTTAGTTCACGCTACATTGAGACGCATTTTATAAATTATTGTTTCTTTGGCTCTTAAAAGTCCTCAAGTCATATTGCCCTTATCAATTGTCGTCCGTGACAATATGAATGAAATTCAAAATTTTTATCGATATGTTTTTGGTATGGATAGTAATATTGGAAATCAGTTCATAATAACGATGTAATTTTATCGACGATGATTCTAACAACACCGCTGAAATCAGTTTACGAAAAGGGAGCGAAGAGAGTAACCACTTCCCCGTGGGTTTCCCTCGTTGCCTTTCATTTCGGAACACTTCCCAACACTGTATTTCCTAAGGATGTTTGCAGATCGTTCGGTATTGACCAGTGTCTCGAGTGTTGACACTTTATCCTTCCAGGTGGCGGTTCACATTTGCCAGCCAATCACGATAAAACCGTGCTAGGGACAAGAATTTAGTGCTCAGAACTAGGAATGCGGTAAACCTCACGAAGGTTGAGTTCAAAAGGTTGCGAAAATTTCGAACCTCGTCAAAGTTCGAATTGAAAAATTCGCAAATTTTGAGTTCGCAGAGGTTTTAATCAGAAGAATTCGAAAATGCCAAGGTTTTTGAAACGTCGAGAGCAATGATTGAACTTTTTTTTTCGACAAATAGAGTTCGAAAAATTATAACTTTTCAAATTTATATAAGGCTCAGGTTTGAAAATTGCGAAGATTTAAAAATTATTTAAGGTACAAGTGTGAAAATTGCAGGTCTTCGAATTTAAGTTCAAACTTCAAATTTCACGGACGGAAAACGCAGTTCGCAGTTTAGAATAAAGTTTTCTTGAATTAAAAAAAAAATAAAATCGCGATATATGCTACGCAAATTTCGCTGAAACGTTGCTCATTTCTTTTATGCCTTAAACAATACTTCCCTTTGAGTGCTGTGGTACTGACGGTGCTCCTGCACAGCTTGTTATTTGTCGTAACTCATGAAACAAGCCTTGAACTGGTTGAACGGTTCTTCGCAAAGCCCTTAGCCTTTTACTTGCAACACACATCCTATCTCTTGGCAGATTCGTATCAATCCGATCAAGGGCCGCTGAAATGCGAGGATGGCATGAGACAGCGAAATATAAAAGACAACGCGTGCACACCGTGCACATAAAGGCCTGCATGATTCACAAAGGTTTTAGTTGCGCTGGGTGTTTATTTTCGGGAGGACCCATAGGATAGAGAAAACACTGGACAAGACACAACACCCGACACTTCTGGATATCGAAGAGAACGCAACCAGACCAAATTAGGGGCCTCCCGACCCCCCAAAATACGGATGATCAGGTGACGAGTAATCGTCATCGGGCTCACAACATTGCCAGTGTCAGGGGCATTTCTTTCTCGATGAATGAAGGTATTGACCGCACTAAAATGCAGCATGTTTCTAATGATAATGGAGGAAACACTGATCCAGCGTTCTCTGGAGAGTGTCGGCGTCGCGCCCCGCGCTCACTTTCCCGCACCGACCGCTTATTCGAGGAAATTTGACGACTAACGTTTAAAAACAACTAAGTCTATGAAGGATGCCCCAGCGAAGCACCTCAGTTGAGCTAGCAGGTTCGAAAGTTTGAAAATAGTCGATTTAAAATAGCCTGATAACTTTGAAAAGAAAAACTGTCAAATTTCTAAGCGCAAGAAATTAGGAAGTTCGCAAATAATCGAATTTCTTAGCGCTAGAAGTTCGAAGTACGAAAATCGTTGAATTTTTTTAATGTAGCATGTTTGATACTTCAAAACTTTTTAAATCTTCCGAACCTCTTCATTCGATGTTCGAAGTTTAAGTTCGAAAAAAAGTTCGCGGCCTCGAAAAATAGTTTGCGGCCTATTGTTCCGTCGTCCGTTTGACGGACTTTCGAGTATATGGGAGGCTATGGCAGCACCGACCCCGGGCACTGAAAAATGTGGGCACATCCTGCCCTATGCACTCTCCGAACCATTTAAACGCGTTTGGCAAACTGACCAAATATGCAGCCAGTTTTTTTTTTTTTTTTTTTTTTTGTTTCAGCAGTGTTTGTGTAGTTCTTTCACTTGATCCTTGTGCTATCAGCTCCTTCTTAATCGTGATTTGGCACTTAGCCGCAAGGCGAAATGTAGATACGTTAGTGATTGGTCCTTTGAGATACCTTCGTGAAAGCTTGAGTAGTGTGTCGTTTCACAAAGAAAAGAAAACTCAGCAATACATTTTGATACTACCACTCAACTTTGGATATAGGTCCCTGTCCGAAGAGTGTATCGAGGTGAAATCAAAAATCAATCGCCTGCAAAATATCACAGACCTTCCGGGAAGCGGAATGAACAAGTCGGTTTTATGTAAGAGGCTCTACCCCGAAGGAGGAAACAGTGGTCTGGTAAGAACATACTATAGCATAGGAGCATGGCGCTATTTATTTTTATTATTGAATTGAGCGAAAATGTTAAGGTTGTCATTGTCTAAACCTGAATTTGTAAGGGGAAATGAAAGGAGGGCTTGCGTCTTCCCCCTTTCCCCTCCCTCCCTTCCCAAACGTCATCACATAGTGAATCCATGCAGCGCCGCCCAACTTGCGTCAGCGTCGCCGCCAGCGCGTCTTGCAGCGTCTCACAGCGAGCGCCAAGGGTAGCACGCGGCGACGCCAAGACGTCGCCGCGTCTGCCACTTTGCGGCGGCTCACGTCGAGCTTCAGCGTGTCTGTCACTTGGCGCGGGTCGGAAATCAACTAACGATGACGTCATGCACAGGAATTCTTCTGCTAGATGGATTGGTTAAACCGAACTAATATGTTCATTAAGACGTTATTACTTTTCGTTGCACCATTTAAATGATATTTGTCTCTCTATTCTTATAAAAGTAAGAAAAACGGTTACTTATTAACTGCAATACGACTAACAAAGATGTTTATGCATTCTTATCCTACAGGAGCTAGATCGAGATAATGAAACCCGGTTTCGCGGCCAGCTTTCTGCGACACTACCCATCGCAGAGAGCTGAAACTTCGTGAGATTGTGACGCTATATGGGGGGTCATAAAGTGCGAATGGTTGAGCGCATGGCGTTACGTGGATCAAAAGATTAAAAAAAGAAACGCAAAATTTTTCTATGAGCACATGTCCTACTAAGCCTAATATTAATCAAGCCGAAATTAAAGATTGCAGGTGCATGTAGCAATTTTGTCAGCGAAACAAACTCGCCTACAATAAATAAAATAATATCGTACTTGGAACTGCGAAGATTTTTGCCGAAATAAATGCTACAGGCGCCCACAGTCCTAGATTTTGGTTTGATGAACATTAGGCTTCGGCGGACGCCGACTCGTGGGAATTTTTTTTTTAATTTTTTTATTTAGGTTACGTTACGTGCTAAATTTTAGCATCGTATCGTACACTGTGATAGCGTCGCATTTTCACAGAATTTCAACTTTAAGCGACGCGATTTATGCGGGCCAAGGAATCGGGCTCCATTTTCTCCAATACCTTAAAACCTTTCACACAATGTACACGGATATTCCAGAAATTAAACCAGCTTTGTTATACTAATTCGCGTTGGGTTGGACCACTGAGGAATCCATACCTATTTAGACAGTAGTTTTTGTTTTTATCGCTATCATCCTTTCTTCACCCGAAATAGTGAAAGTTTGAAGAGCGTGGCGTTTGATTTTTTTGCAGAAGAGAGCCCTGCGCATGCTCAGAATGCGTTCGATAACCCAGTAGAGAAAGATGGCGGCCCACCTTCTGCACGCCGCCATATTTGTCTACTGATCACTCTCATTCCAATCCTCTACAATTATTGGAATAATCGCAGAGGCAATATTGGAATGGTTCATGCGAACTCAAATTGTAGGTCGAAAGTAATCCCGAAGCGGTAACAACTGACCTCAGAAAAACCTGAGTGCCGTGCTGTCGGACGTCGGGATCCTGGCGGTTGACCGTAAAAGTTCCGGCAAAAACCACCAGCAAGCGCGAGGGTCGCCGTCGTCGCGGCGTCCCAACTCGTGGCTGCCGAAGTTTCCGTGGGCTGCCATGCTGAAGAGCGACCTTCAGCAGAACGGGCGCCTGCCTCATCCACCACCGCTGTTGTGACCACCTGGATCGCCACCGGAGACAGCATGACACTTTTAACGAAATTCGGGGAACCACTTTGTTGGACGCGGAAAGCACACCTGCCGGAGAACTTTATTTTCTTTCATCATTGGAACGGGGGACCTAGACGAAAAGCTACTGCAGCAGCTTGAAGGAGGTCCTGGCCTCCTTTACAGCAGGAGATTCCAACACAATTTCAGACAACGAACAAAATAGGTTAATTGAGAGAAAGGACGCCATTTTAATATACGGACCACAGATCGTACAAAAGGAAGAAAAAAGGGAACTCATTTTAAAAAGAATTAATTTAAAGTAGATAATTGGTCATTTACTATGTTGTTTTAGTATAATATATGTGGTGGTGAAACAAACCATTTTTTAGGACAGAGTTGATACGAGGAAGTGAAAAAGGCAAAGTTACGTAATTGCCCAAAACTTTTATTTTTCAATTGCGTAGACTTCTCGTACGCCACAAGTCGGGACATGTAAATATTTGAAAATGGTTTTATATTAAACAATGATAAAAAGTGTTCAGTATGATACTAGTATAAAACATCGGCAATAGCACGCACAACTTTTTTTTTTATAAACTATGTAGTTTAACTTGTATTGGTTTTTGTTAAATTTCACCAAACTAAATGACAATATTTAAAACTTTAACGTGCTAGTTGGTTCATTGTAATCTAGAAGTGCAAAAAAGCGCAAAAAAAAAAAAAAAAAAAAACACGGACGAAGAGACACATACAGCGCCAGTCCGTGTTGTTTGTGTCTCCTCTTCGTGCGTGTTTTTGCGTATTTTTGTCCACTAGCCAATAATGAAGTTGGGAACGTAGCAAAGCATTACAGAGTTCAAGCTTAACACAACGGGGTAGCAATTATTTAAATTTGTTCAGCAATCCCACTGTTTACGACCGTTTAGAGGAAAAGTAATCTGCACGCTTATTCCAAGACATACTATTTGTAAGCAAAATGCCGAAAGTCTTAATAGTGTGGACAAAATCAATTTCTTCGTTTTTCAAAATCGGGGGTTTGTGATCACAACTGGAACACGTTGACTTTAGTTTATTGCGAACTTAAGGTGATTATCTTTTGTCCATTTTTCCACACCATGAAGAACACAATTAGATTTAGTTACTAGAGTACTGATATCTTTATCAGATAAAAAGATGCTAATGTCAACAGCATATATAATATACTCAATTTAAGATCATGATTTACATTTACAATATCGTTAAAATAAAGAATAAAAAGTAGGGGGCCTAAATGCTGCCTTGGGCACACCATTTATTATTTTTTCGATATCTGACATAAAGATTAATATAGACACAAACTGAGTTTGATTCTGTAAGTAAAACTATAAATAATTTAATGTTTTCCCATGAATACCATAGTATTCTAATTTTTCTATCAGGACATCGTGATTTATTGTGTCGAAAGCTTCAGAGAAATCAAAAAATATACGGATTGTTTTGTGATTATGTAGCGCTCTTAATATTATTTCCTTTTTGTTTTAATAAAGCTAACTTTATCAAATAACTTTTACGGAAACCAAACTGGGAATTGCGAATTAGAAGGTATTTCTCAAGATCAGAGATAATTTATTTAAACTAGTTTTTCGATTGGCTTAGAGAATACTGGAAGTATAGAAATTGGTCTAAAGTTGATAATGTTTTTTTAAATCTCCACCTTTATGTAACACAAACTTTGGCAATCTGCATTTTGATAGAAACCTCACCGGACATCAGTGTAAGATTGAGCTTAAAATTAAGGTAATGCGGTGAGATATCTAAACCATAATTTGCGTGCTTTATCTGCATATTGTATGCATCAATACTTGTAGTATTGTTTAGGCTCATGAATGTATTTTAGACTTCGGAGGCATTAGTCGCAAAAGAAAGTTAAGATTAGGCAAGGGTGAGGGCATCCACTGAAGTGCATTATTTGCTCTAGTAGTAGGAACAGAGAATATTGGGAGATTTACAAGACAGTTATGAAAAGCATTCGCCATATCCGTCGCCGATATTATACAACCGTTTATGTTAATTTCAACTGGTGTCGAAACGTGTGGCTTTAATCCTTTGGCAAATCACGTTGGTGGGGGTCTAAAAGTCTCGCTTTCTTTACCGTACATATGTAATAAAAATTAAATATTATAATTTATAGGCCTATAAGGCTCTCCGTTCGATTTCACCCTCCGTAGAATGGGGCGTTAAAGTCGGCTCAAAGGTTTTGTGTTGTAAGGCTATAGGACTGCAATATGACGACTCTACATAGTGTAGTGCACAGCATTATAGTCTCGTTTTTCCTCAGGACACGGGAAATTATCCAGACTGTAAAGCATATTGCATGAATAATAACAATAATTGGGTTTATGAAAATCTCTTGGATGGAATGGAATGTGGAGAAGGAAAGGTAAGCCCTTGAAGAAATGTTCATTTCGTAAAACTAAAACATCATGACCTTAATGAGCGGAACAGTACATGACAGTCACTTTTATGTGCTGCCATGTATGGAAAGTTGTCACATAACATGAGCCAAATCGTTACTGCGAAAAATACGCACCGAATTGAAAAAAAAAGGTAGTGCCGTATTGGTTTTTTCCAAATGGCCAATTAGGTCAAATGAATAACGTTTGGCATAATTATCTTATTATTGAAGTTCGCGTAAGCATAACTTTTTAATTCGTGAATTTCAATTAGAAACTTGCTGAGCATAATCGAAAACCATTATATAAATTTATTAGAAAAATGTAGAAGGCGAGGTACAGCATTTTACTCCTAACCCCCCTTCCCCCCTCCCTCCTCCACCCCCCTAAAAAAGAGTTTCATTCGGACGCGTTTTTATGTTTCGCTTTCCTATAGGAACCCATCTTTGAGCCAGCGGTTTCGACCAACACCACCTAGATAAGCAGGTGGACTCCTTACCGCCATGACAGTCAGATCGATCGAGGCCTGAGATTGGGCACGGGTGCTGCGTCAGTGTTCGGCCGGGGCTCGTGTTGAATCAGCGTGTCGAAGGTCGGACTCGGGCCATCGAGCCGAATTAGCGCCCTCCAACTGTGATGACGTTTCATGAAGGCAGAGGAGGCGATGTGGAGACTTTGAACATTCTAGGTGGCGTGGTTTTGACCCTGTGGCCAAGGCGCGCAAACCACGTACGCCACGCGGTTCTTTCCTGCTACGAGGACGAGGAATTACGCCATCATGGCGACTCAACCTGGTCGACCTTGCTCGATAGCAAACCGAAACCTACTCGTTTTTACCTAAAAAAAAAAAGTTTCGCGCATTGTTTATACGTTGCGCCAAGTAGATCTGACAAGATTTGATTGTCGGAGGAAGAAGCGATGCTTTTGGTGTTTCAAACGAGTACGTCTTGATAAAATAACGTATATCTAATCTACAATGCACCTAAATATATTTTATTTCTCTACATGGAAGGGGAAATAAGCTATGCTCCGGAAGGAGCCGGACCTCTTTTACTGCGGTTCTTGGGGTGAAATCAAGTTTATAAAAACTCTTCCAAATTAAGAGTTTTATAGGAACGGAGAAAAATGCTCTACACGCCGTCTACAATTCTAAAATCCGCCGATTTATTGGGTTTCGACGATGTTCACCAAGTTTCTGATTGAAACCATGCCTATGCGGAGCGCAAGTTCGTCTGCTTCTTGAGAAGAGGTGGCGATGACGTCATAATGATGCCGAGCTCTTATTGGCTTTGGTTGGACGGATAGTGGGTACACCTCAATGCTAGATGCCTCGAGGTCTACCCACTATCTTTTTTCAGTCAGTCAATAAGAGCTTGGCGTTCTGACATCATCGCAGCTCCTGTCCAAGAAGCAGACAAGCTTGTGCTCCGCATAGTTACCTATGACTACGGCATTTACAAGGCCACACTACCAGGAAGCTCCTACCAATGTGCGGCCCGTTCGCTTTTCGGTGATAGAAATTGCGCAATCTAAGAACGTCCTTTTGGACCATAACCTGTAGGGGTATAGTTGTAAGCCGGGGTCACACTGCTTGTACATCATACAAAAGACAGTCTGCGTACAGATTCGAAGGCGAGTCACCGCGAGGTCCGCGTGCTTCGAACGCCGCATGGCAATTACTTGATGGAGAAAAGTAGGCAGGCGACATTCGAACCACGGATATTGGGGTGACTCGTGTTTGCAGACTGTCGTTTGTATAAAGTATGGGCACTGTGACCTCGGCTTTAAGTTAATTGTAGTCAACTCTCAAGTTAAGTAAAAGTGTGTGCTTTTCCAGATAAGTTTTTAATTCATACGATTTATATTTAGCCGAGGGTCCCAATATTTACGAAGAAAGCTGTTGAAGGACCCTTAGTAAAAAAGGTTTAGAGATCAAACGTTAGCACAGCGTTTAAGATCAATCAAAGGAATAACATTGTAATAAACGAGAACAAAGTTACACAAGGTAACGGAACGATTATGGTACATACAAGCTAAAAAAATTGCAAACGACGCAGGGCGGATCCAAGGCGGGACTACGGGGGCGATCGCCCCACCCCCCAAACAAAGTCGACTCCCCCATTCCTCTCCCCTTCTCGGAGAGCAATTCGGCATGAGTGGACCCCCCAGTGCACAAGAAAAAAGTGGAGAATAGTATCCTTAGAAATTTTTCCGCCCCCCCCCCCCGCAAAAAACATCAACAAAAAAAACAAAAAAAAACAAACAAACAAACAAACGGAGTTCTCGATCCGCCCCTGAAACGACCACGCGAACTGTGCCGCGTTGTGGAGAGGCATGTTGGAGGAGATTTGCCATTCGCCAGTGTGCTGTACAATGTTTGCAATGGGTTCTTTGCTTTTAGTGGAATTGATGTAGGAGACGTATGTAAGGCAGAGGTCGATAATTTAGGTCGCCCTCACTCACCCTCACCCTCACAGCCACACTCACCTAAGCCCCTCACTCACCCTCACCGTCGCAGCTGCTCTCACCCTCAACCCCTCATTCACCCTCACCCCCATAGCTACACTCACCCTCAGTCCCACACTCACCCTCATCCTCACAGTCACACCCACCCCTCTTCCCTTCACTCACCCTCACTGCACCTCACGGCCCTCACGCCTCTCACGCACTCATGGCCCTCACGCCACTCACTGCTCTCACGCACTCATGACTCTCACGCGACTTACCGTCCTCAGGGCCCTCACGCCGCTCACCGCCCTCACGCACTCATGGCCCTCATGCCACTCACCGCTCTCACGCCACTCACCGCCCTCACGCACTCATGGCCCTCACGCAACTCACCGCCCTCACGGCCCCCACGCACTCATGGCCCTCACGCCACTCACCGCTCTCACGCCCCTCACGCACTCATGACCTTCACGCCACTCACCGCCCTCACGCACTCATACCCCTCACGCCCCTTACGCACTCATGGCCCTCACACCCTTCACCGCTCTCACGCCCCTCACGCACTCATAACCCTCACGCCACTCACCGCTCTCACGCCCCTCACGCACTCATGACCTTCACGCCACTCACCGCCCTCACGCACTCATACCCCTCACGCCCCTCACGCACTCATGGCCCTCACACCCTTCACCGCTCTCACGCCCCTCACGCACTCATAACCCTCACGCCACTCACCGCCCTCACACACTCATACCCCTCACGCACTCATGGCCCTCACACCCCTCACGGTCCTCACGGACTCATGGCCCTCATGCCACTCACGCCCGTTTCAAACGGGGCGATTTCGCCCAGAAACTTGACGTGTTGACACGTAGCAACCAACTGCTGCTATTTGCCATCCTCATCATGAAATTTTATTTTTCTTGCGCTATTTAGACAAACAATTGCGTGCTATAAACGTGTTTTATGCATTTAAATATCGTTGAGGATACTAATGCATCTTTCTGAAACAGTTTATGTCCAAAAAACGATCAATTTCTAACCAGAACCAAGTCTCTTACTGTCATCATCACCGGCGCGAGTTATCACGTGAAAATATGCCGTCCCTGATTGGATGCAGCCGCTTCAAACGTCTTCGAATTGCTCGGAGTTGCTGGCTTGTTTCGAGCCGGACCCGATCTCAGTAATTCGTGTCGATCTAGGGAAAGCTAGGGAACAACCTGCCAGCAACACCAAAATTGCTAAGAAAGTTGCTCACCGCTTTCACGCCCCTCCCGCACTCATGGCCCTCACACACCTCAAGCACTCACCGCCCTCACGGTCCTCACGCACTCATACCCCTCACGGCCCTCATGCCACTCACACACTCACCGCCCTCACGCCCCCATGGCCCTCACACCCCTCACGCACTCACGGTCCTCATGCACTCATAGACCTCACGCCACTCACGCACTCACCGCCCTCACGCCCCTCCAGCACTCATGGCCCTCACAACCGTCACGCTCCTCACGCACCTCACGCACTCACCGCCCCCACGGCCCTCACGGACTCACGGTCCTCACGGCCCTCACGGCCGTCACTCACCCTCACACTCATTAATTTTCCTGGTTTGGAAACTCACTCACCTCACCTCACATGTGAAGATGAGGGTGAGTGATTGTAAGTGAGGGCCCTCATGAGTGAGGTTTGCCGAGGTATGGTGTAAGGAGATGCGTGCTTTGGGGAAAAGTTTGTGCGAGATGTTTATGTACTGAAAAAAAACATGCTTTTCTTTTTTCGTTTCTTTACTGAAACAAATCAATAGTACGAGAGCGTCCATGATCGCGCTTGCGGTGGATGGAGCGAAAGTACATACGCGATCTGTTCTGTAGAGGCGCGGAGAGCACACGGGAACAGAACCTGGGCGGCGGCAGTGGGGAGGCGAGGGAGCGTGTCCGCCCAGCGCGACCACGCGAGTATTTCGCAACGACGGCAGCCGGATAGGGGGAGGGGTGGAGGATGAAGGAAGAGCGTCGCCAGAGGGTACGTGGATGCAACAGGAACGATGGGGAGGCGGAGGGCGCTCTCACCGCAGTTGACGTGTAGGTGTGAGGGGCGACGGGGTAGAGGGTGAGCGGTAGTTTTGTTGTAGAGGGGGTCTGCTTTCGTACATTAGCATTTTTGCCGGAAAGAGGCACTAACAACTACCACTGTATAACAAAAAAAATATAATAGATAAAAACCAAGTGTAAAGCAAAGCAAACATACAATTCCAATTAGAATCAAAAGCAAGAAACCTATCAATGTAACTTCTTATAGTTCTCTAATTGAGAAACTGAAGGGGGAAAGCTGCTTGTAGGTACAATTGCAGAGGCTTGACAGACACCTTTCGTTTAATTTTCACGTATAGAAACATCAACTAAATTGTGAGAAATAATCCTTGAGTAACTAAACCTATGTGTCAGAAATAATGACGAGGAAGGTTCTGGATAGAACGCCTTATTTAAGCCACGAAAGCGTATCGAAGTTTGCCTCCTTCCACGCCTGAAAATGACAAATT